AATATTCATTTATAGTTGAAATGTCATTAAATGCAAATCAGCTAAAACTCCAAAAAAATCACTTTTTATCTCGTCTATCTTGCACGCAGGTTTAGTATATCATTTCCTAGGAGACAAATATAGTCTCTCTTAATTTAAAAATCTTTTCTTCATTTATAGAACAGGAAATGTACGTTATTTTATCTTCTGAAAAAAAAAGAAATTGTGAATTGTGGCAGTATTTCTATCATGCTAATTTAAAAGTTAATGTTGTCTCTGACAGCTCTCGTGCGTTCTTTCCGTTTTCTCCGAATTACGACTTTAATATTGAACGTTCTGAAAGTTCATAACTGTTATGCAGACCAATCTCGTCGAAAATATTTGAATTTTTTATGTGTCTATAAATAAATGTTGATTTCGTATCTGATATTCGTCAATTTTAAATAATTAGAGAAAAAAAAACATAATTAAACTATCATCTTCTATTTCTTATGTAAAAGTGTCTGAAGTCATGGAATGATAGAAGCGAAAATAGTATTTTTTTTCTTTCCAATCTCCTAAGATGGAAAACTACGACATCTCTAAATCCACACAAAGACGTCTTTGTACAAACTCCAGTCAACAGAACTAACCATCTTTTTTTGATCGTCGACAGCGAAATTCTGATAGGTATTCTTACTAAATTCAGTTTATATTTATTCTGATAAACATTCTGCTGTAGTAAGGATTCGATGAGCAATGAAAAGAAATTTAATTATAAAGTATATATAATAGAAATTTAGAGATTATTATGATAAATTTTCGAGCTAATTTTATAAAGCTTCGAAACAAATGATGTATAATTTATGAATCTAGTAGTTTAACGTCGTCAAGAAAAATCTTTATTGAACTCTTTATTTTGTTTATCGGACGTTTTTTTTTTTTTGCTGCAGAGAAGTGAAAAAGCAACATAGAATATTTGTTAGATGGTGCGTGAAAACGCACTATGTTTAAGCAAGAAAATACCTCTATACGATTCCACCGTTAATTACTAATATTTGTGGTATTAACCATCAAACTCAGAGATTGAACACGGTGGCGTATTCAGCACTTTTTAACTAATTACTAAAGTTCCACGAGTTTAAGAAAAAGGGAAGAGAGCAAGCCAAGGGAGTTCTTTAAAAGTAATTGGAAAAAAGAAGTTTTATACTTTTTGCCGAGAAAATCAAAATATTTTAAAAATCACATTGAGCAAATAACTAACTGTTCTCTCTCTCTCTCTCTCTCTCTTTTTCTACAGAACATTTTAGCGAAAAATCGAAAGTGAGATTTTTCAACGTCCAACTGCGGAACGTTAAATTCACTATCAAGACTATGCATTAAAATATTCAGGCTACAAGAGAAACAGGTGAAGAAAAAAAAAATAAGATAAGAAACAGAAGAAGAACGGTCGAAGGGAAAACGCGATCGCGTCAAATGAAGAAGTTTGTTCCAATCTTTTAATCGCATCGTAGGCTCTGATGTGTTACTATTCTGAATAGACGTTTCTGAAGCAGCACATGATTATCCATTTTCTATATTACCAAACATTTTTAAAGAGTATTTAATCATCTCTTCTCTGTTCTCTGTACCCTTCAAATCATTCATTCGTAAAAATGTCGAAATCAAACTCGATTCTCTCAAGTATAGTCAAGTCATCTGATGATGTTAAAGTAGTTGCTAAATCACATGATGTTTGTCAATATTGAACAAATGATCTTAAAAATCATACAAAATTGTGTTTACCATTTTCAGTACGACATTCTTTTTCAAAATATATTGGGTGTTAGTTTAACACAAACTCAAATTTATTCAACATTTTTACAAATGAATGAACTTAAAGGTTATATGTATTCATACTTATGGTTATATTCATGACATGAATATAAATTTAATCTGAAGTCTTTTGTGACAACGTTCTCTTTAGACTATAACATACAACTACCACGCATCAATTCTGTGCGTCAAAAGAGAAAGAATTTGAAAACATAAACTTCTCATTTTTCATTCTTAACTCGAGATTTTCTATTGTTTAAGAAAGTATAGGTGTAATATGACTAGTCAATTTCTTCACTATAACTTCTCTCAGAATGCGGATTTGATGTTGGATAAAAACGTATCTTAAAAATCATACAAGTCGTCCAATAGTTGACTTTCTTGTGTGTTAATGACATCATATTCATATCCAAATTTCAGATCAGTTTTATTATTCAAATATTTCTGTATTTAATAAAAGAATATATCAAAGTTTTATAACTTTATTGCGTCCACGGCATCGAACATTCACTTTTTCGTGTAATGTTGAAAAAGTACTTCAACGAAAGTGGTTATTATTCAATCTTTGCATTCTACTAAACAATTATCACTTAATACTCACTTTATTTTATTCTATAATTTGTTAAATACTATAATAAATACTTCTGACACTAGCACTCTAAAATTTTCGTAATTTTACAAATGTTGTGTAAATTGTATTAACTCTAATATCAGTTAATTTATTATACGCATCATTAAGTACAAATATACACATATTCTTTCATACAAACAAACTTCCAAAATACTGTAATACATTGTTAGATATGATTACTATGACTATTGTCATACATTTAGCTTAACTTATTTGCTCCTACTAATGAAAGAATGACGGCCGTTTGATTAACAATAGTCATGAGAAGGTTTTTTTTATATAAATAATAGCACATCGTTCAAGCAGTATCCTTTCTTTTCTTTTGAAATCTGTTAGGAACTTTGAAGATACCTTAAAATCTACGATTCCTTCTAAACCTCTTTTTCAGTAAAACTGCTCTCACTCGTGTGAAGAGGACTTTTAAAAATAGATTCTCTTTTTTTTTTGTTTTTCAGGCAGTGGCTGTTTTCATCAAAATTTCAAGATAAAGGGATACTTGTTGCGAGATATAACTAAACAACTGTCATCTGTAAAAAAAACTTCTCTACTTTTCTAATCGTATGACTAGAATTTATATTCTAACTCGTCGACACGTATCACTACATTCTGATACAATAAAAAATTAATTACTTGTCTTGATTCAGAAGTTATCTGTATTTTCATAAAATAATGAGTTATTCATATGATACACTACATTTAAATGAATGGAATTAACAGTGTTGGCTAAGAACTCTAACTACACAAAATTTTAAGTTACAAGACCTTCTGTTGCTCAAATAATAGAGATGTAGTTACTTTTACAGAGTATTATACACTGTTGCCTTTCTGTTGTGATTATTATTGTATCTCTTGTTCTGTGTAATCATATCTACCGTCTATTATATAAAAAAATTACTTTTTTTTTTTTTTTGCATGCAGCAAATAGATAAATGTTCAGTTATATCATTTATCCTCAGGATATATCTGTCGTCGTACATACTTCAACATCACAGTTGTTTTTGTTGTTTCCACTAATTATTAGTTTTTGTGATAGAGCAAACTATCTTCCTTCTTTTTATTTTTTATCTAAACGATAATATTTTTGTATATAGGTTCAACTGAGAGAAAATAAAAGAGTATAGTAGGACTCATATCAAGTTTTGTTGACTAGAGAGAGTCTATCTCTCTGTTCGTCACAAAATAAGTCAAATGGAAAAATGTTAAGATCTGTCTACCATCTTTTCTTACTATATAATGGTGACTGTAAGTAATAGTAAAATAGTTGTCTATGATGATAATGTAATAAAATAATAATAAAGCGAAAGCGGAAATATGAAAATAATAGACAGAATTTAAAAATATCGTGAAATACAATAACAAAATAGAAAAGAGATAGAACTAACTATTTTTCTCTCTTTCTCTCTCTCTTTCGCATAGAAAAGTTGGGTAATGAGTGTCATTATTATCCACTACGTATATTATATATTTTTATACAAGAAAAGGTAAACGCGTTTACTAAGAGCCGGATTTTGTGTAGGAGAAGAAAAATTATCTTTTTATTATCTCATCATTTTTAAATTATAATTGATTATAAATAATTTTTCAATCGTTAAGCCTAATTTTCAAACTCTTTCTAATGCTCTATGGATGTAAAATTTTATCAAACAACAAATGGACGAATCTTAGTAAGAATGGAAGATGGAACATTTATAAATGGTAAGAAACTCTTTCGACACATATATATTAGAGATTTATATATTTAATGATGTTAGTAAGTACACAGAAATAATAATTAACTTGTTGTATTTTTTAGTGGAAAGATATTAATTTAAAACAGCTACATACTACCTGAGTTACATTTTTCATTCTCAACTGAGATACTTATTCAATTAAATATTTTAATTTGAAAAGGGAAAAATATACATAAAGCTGCGTTTTTCCACCTGTCAGACGTTTAATAGATCGAGATATGGTTTTGTAAATGTTGGCTCTCAATTGAGATATAATTTGTTTAAGAGTGATGATAGAAGGAAAGAAACTGTCATAGAATTATTCATCCGTCACTTAATCATTCTGTTTTAACCCTATATTAAATTAATCATGCAAACCGGTTACAAACAATATCTCATCATCCTTAATTATATCCGCTTTATGCAATTATTGAAAAACATTTAAATAATTATACACAAGAATGATGTCTTTCAGTCGTTGTACGAACGAATGAAATCTGTCAAAAACATTTCAACAAACTTTGATGCAAACTTTAACTGTGTATGATAATGCACTAAATGGTACTTTTCAAACTTATGCGGATAATGTATGAACACATCATTCTTATAGAAATTATATCTCAGCTGTGAAATGAATCATGATTTACAAATCCATGCTTTATTAAATGTATCTCAGTTAGAAAGATACATATAAAACAGATGTGCATATTTGTGGCACAATATATATGCGGTTGTATATTATGTAAAAAGAGAATCGAACGAGATATATAGTATTTTTCTTATGAATTATGACTTTTTAAACCTTTTTACATGTCTGATCAAATAACGCTTCTTATTATCAATCAAAAATCTTATCATTTTCACATGTTTTTATTTAATTTTGAAGTATGCTTAGTATAGGTACTGAATATTATAGATTTCTATTGCACTAGTTTTCATGGACTATTATATATAAATGACGAAGATTTAGTTGCAAAATAAAAATTGTTTTTATTTTTACTTCTAGTTGCTGGCTCAAGTAAACCGCCATCCCGATATCGTCGATCTGCACAAAATTATGACGAATTAGGTATGTATCAATATGTAAAACGGGAGATAATTTGTTATCAATTCGTAGAATATCGTTTTTTGAACAGATTTCTACTTTCAACTGTGTTTGAACACATTATTTTTTAACACACTATTATTTATGTAACGTATTTTTTCATAAATAATCTAAATAATAGAGAAATTGAGATAGGTCATATCTAATTCTCTGAATAGAATGACGTTATTATAATCTAGATAATTAAATATATAAAAATAGAAAAACTATTAATAAAGAAGAAATCATTGGACCATTGTCATTTAGATATTTTAGAATTTTTTTTTTGCTTGTTCTGAGAAACATAAATATCATATGGTATTACTTTTTTAACAGCTGATTTTTTTATTCACCTTCAATCTCTCTTGCAAATAAGCACAAAATTGTTATTATAATCACTGAAGAATACAAGTCGAATATAGTTATACTAACTTTATTTTGCTCCCTGTTCATATCAACAAAATACTATTCTACAATCGAGATTTCTATTGTCAGACAGTGAAAAATAACAGCACTAATGACTCTAAATTAGAGTAACACTGTTAGTTTCAGTTACATCCGCACGTCATTTTTATAACTCCCTTACTTTTTGCACGGCTTTGAAGGATCGAAAAAGATGATTTCTTAATTAAATATATTTAGTATATTGTTGGGTGACTCTATCGTTTAAATCTATAAAAGTGTAATATAGCCTAAACAATAATGTGTAGCATATACATCATTAAAATGTGTATATGTGTCTATAAAAGTGTATGTTAAAATAGTAGTTCCATTTACAAGTATTCAGATGCCAGTCAAATCTTGTTGCTTCATGTGTCAGTCTCATCTTTTACTGAAGATAACAGTCATTAGTTCTAGTATGTAAAATGGTGTACACAAACACATGTTTACTTAAACATTGTTTAAATGGTACTCGTCTGGAGAAGAAATTAAAACAGAAAAAGAAGCCTCAATTTCAATCTATGCGTTTTCTATTTTGTCTGTTACTATAAACTCTTCATTTTGGTAAATATGATTTCACGTTGAGTACCATTTGGGAGTTCGTTGTCATTATCCTATGTTTCATACACATTACGCTATTTTAAAATGAAATGCCGCTTTGGTCCTATATCAAAAGTAAGTACTAGTCATGGATACAATGAGATGACCTGTTTACTGAATCTGTTTTTTGACCACAAAATATTTCAGCAAGATAAATTTAACTATTAAATTGGATATTAAACAGAATATTGTTAGTTGTTTATTTTTTCAATCAAAAAAGATTAACATACCTTATGGTATGGCATGTTGAGTTTAATTTAAACCTATTTTCTTACATAGGCCATGGATATTGTATATTTTTCTGATTCCAGTTTGATTTTATTTTTATGCAATATTTTTGATTCAAATACTTTTGGCAACAACTTATACTAGTAATAGAATTCTTTACCAAAATTTTCCGTATACATACCAATGTGACAAAAATACATTAATTGTCATTAAGTTAGTTCATTGAGTGCACTAGAACTTCTATTTCCATTATGTATCAGTTAAATTTTACTGTCTTTTATTATTCGTCTAATATGGAGTGTTTGTTGATGTATACTTATAGACAATTAGAATGTTGACTAAAAAAGTTCTATCTGTTTCTTTTTTTCGATTATTAGATTAAAATAACTCAAAAGGTTGCACATCATCTCTGTTAATATTGTTGAATAAATTAGCTAGCTAATAATGATATTTTCTCTTCATAAATGCCAAAATTCTCTTTTCTTTCTTTTTCTGCCTGTTATTACGATAATACACATTTTACAACGTTAAAACAATGTTAATAATACAATATTATGATATGTCAAGCAAAAAAAAACCGATATGACGTATAGTAAAATATAATAAATAGATATGTGTTCTGTACCATGACTGTAGGGAGAAATGACATAGGTTTTATAATGAAGAGATAAACTATCATTATCGATTTTAAAGAGTTAGTTATACATGGACATTAGACACTAAATCATTTAGTTAAATTTTTACTATTAGTAGTCAAGTTTATATTAAAATGAACTGGGTTGTTCTATAAATAGATACATCTGTTTAAATCACTGTATTGTTGTTACCGTCCAAAAAGATAAACTAAACAGATTGCGCTTTTGATAATGTTCTGCACTAGGATATAATATTAATACTATCCTTTTTTCTGTAGTTTCGTCATCCATTTATAATTAAAAAAATTAATTAAATTATCAATTCACGAGTTTTAATATTAATTTATTTTTTCAAATCTTTGGTGGATTGAATGTTCTCTTTATTAGACGAAGTGTTCTGATTCAAACATATTTCTAGTATATATAAAGTAAGCTAAAACACAAGACACTTATGGGCGTATAGTCTCTATTGTAAACGAACACGAAAATTTTTTTTCATTGTGCCGTTGTTTGTATTTAAGGTAATAAACAAAACAAAAAAACGATGGTAACTAAGATAGAGAACGGAATAACTGATGATTGAAAACAAATGATAGAAAAGAAGTTATAGAGGATAATAAAATACCTAAAAACAACGAAAAAAAAACTGTAAATGTACATATATAATTACCCTATCTTTTAACGTTTTGTCAGTGTCAAACAATGTATATAGCTATAGAGTGACGGATGATAGAAAAATAGTCTGTTTGTTTTTTGACAACATCAACAGTCTTAGTGGAAACCTAAAGGATATATCACTGCCGAAACTATAGATGAATGAAAAGACAAACCATAGTATAAATCGTATGTATGTATTTTTTTTTATTCAGTAATTGATTGTCTGACCATAGAAGTTTAGACCATAGTTTAGAATATCCTAATTTTCGTGATTGGTTGGTTCATTAACAGATTATAACGAATGTTTTTTCCATCTGTGGAAGAAATTAAATTTTTATTTCAAAGTAGATATCGGATGATTTGTTAAGGAAGAAAATCTTTTTTTCTATATTCATAGTTGCACGTTACTATTCTGAAGTAAAACATGAGTATCTAGTGCAAAATTCAGAAATACATAGTCCAAAAATCTATTGACATGTTACTTTTGTTAATTACAAACATGTACTATACACGTGTGAAGTGCTCTGTTTATTACATTTATAAAAGAATAGAGAAGCCATACCATTATTGTAAAATGATGACACTAATATATCCGTTATTCAATCGTTGGCTATCGTTTTTAGAGAACTTTACATCACCATTTACGATCAAATCGAAACCAGTTCGTAGCACTGTTGTTGAACGAGACGTATCAGGTTTAACAAAAATCGACGATTTACCACCACCAGAGTCATTTGACGCTTTACAATGTGGAGGAGAAAGGTATATATTCATAAAATTGAGAATAATATACTGCTGTTTTGCCGTCGAGTTTGAACAGTTGACAGACTCTAGATAAGCTTCAGAGACTTGAACCGGTATACCTACATTCTGCAACTGACTCGCAATAGTGCAGAATTTGATACAATCGGACATCCGGAGAAATTGTCAGAAGCATACATGCGTTAGATATTCCTTTCCCTTGAATGATAGTAACGTTATTTTAGTTCGATTAAACAGTTTTATTATCTTATCTTTAAGAATACGAACGATTATAGCTGCTCTTCAACACAATGTACTGGTGCGAAAAGAGGATCTTATGCGGAATTTGGACTATGTGGCACGTGTATTGGAAAGTGCGCATTTGGACGAAACCAGGTAAGATTTGTGCTTTGTTTTCATGTTACCTTTCATAAAGTGGACCATCTTCCAAGAGTTGCGTTTCAATGATATAAATAACTTTTCTAGCAATAAAAAGCAACATGTTTTTAAGCAAAATGGGTATGAAAATTATTATTTTTTGCTTGAAACCTTATTAGAAATTGTGTATGGATATTTATAATCAAGGCAATTTAATGAGACGGATATCCGATGAAAATGAAATACTATTAGTCCATTCTCATTCGGTTGGAATTAAATATAAAGAATTAAATGCTTAAAGCGAAAAACTTCTTAGGCGAAAAAATAAAAAATATTCAGAATACTCGTTATAAATTATCAACAGTCACGAAAGATAATATCGAGTTTGTGGTGTACAATACTATTGCTCATATTCATTTGTGTGATATTTTTAATTAATGTGCATGAGTGCATGCATAACCTAGCAACCAACATCCATGCATTTGTGTACAAGTTTTTAACTTGCAGCCTAATTGGTAATAAGAATAAGCCTGTTTCTCATGATAGATTTCTCTCAGTTTAAAATAGTCATTCTCTTATTTCTCATATTTAGCTATGATATAATATCTTGATTATTGCGGTTATCTTTAGAGGGAATCTTTTTTTTGCGATTTTTAGTAGTTCCCACGCGTTTCAAACATTAAAGTAGATTTTTTTTCTTCGGCACCTTACATTATTAGTGATAAAAAGCTTTTTTTATTTTAATTTTTCTTTTCCATAAAGTCTTCAATACATTTTAAAGCAGAAAACACATTTTTTCCTGCGTGTTTTTCTATTGAGAAAAGTTGCTTGAAGGTGCAAATCGGGTTTTACTTTAAGAAAAACAAACATTTCCATTGTATAAAAAAAAGGAACTTTATATCATCAGTTTTCCTATAAAACAAATTTTCGAACCGTGAAACAAGTAAAAGTGAGATCTTTTATTCTTTTAAAAGAAAACGTATTTTATATGTAATCATGTATAAACTTGTTTCACGATTTGTTGTACTAAATGCTTAATTATTTAAGTTACATGCAAATCCGATCATAAAAATAGTTCATGGCGATAAAGTATGAAAAATGGGGGTATGTTGTGAGTGTTAAAAGTCTTCTAGTGAACAGAAAGATATGCAGGGTAGATCGTACGACTTTACGAAGGATAATGACGGCTAAAATTGTAACAGAGGCATCTTTTGTCATGTTTAACAGATAAGGTTTTATTGTCTGTATTAAAATGTGTTTTTTGTTTAACATTTTAGACGTCTTATGGAAGAAGACGATGTGTTATCCGAAATAGAACCAGATAGTGTACCAAATGAAGTGCGCGACTGGTTAGCAATGACATTTACACGTTCTATGTCCACAATGAAACGACGTCCAGAAGAAAAACCAAAATTTAAGAGTGTTGCACAAGCTATTCGAGCTGGAATAATGGTCGATAGGTTAGTGTATTTGATTAAAATACTTAAAAATTTCAACTGATAGAAATGGTACTCATTTTTATGAAAAAACTATTTTCAAGCTTTGAAAAGTAACTTAAAAAAAAGGGGAAGAATGACTTTTTTATTATTTTGCAGTTATTGCAAGTATGAAAAATGTATATTATAATGACAGAGCCTCGTCGTGTTATTTTAATTAAACATAATATAGATATTTTTTATTTAATCTAACTGTACTAATTTTATTCTATGCTATCTCTCTCTAAAAGGATTTTAAAAAAATGGTCATTACGTGTTAAAGTTAAGGTATGAGATCAGGAAGTAAGCAAGCTAGTTCGAATTTCTCGTTTTTTGTTATCTAAAATAATAATGCAGTACACATTGATATGGAAAACTAATATTGCACGATAATTAAACTTCATTATATAGTTTTTGTTTTTTTTGCTCGTTTTCTATTGAACATCTGCATTAACAAATTAAAGTATTTTTATATGGCATGTTGATCGATGCATGATTTTTAACAACACCACTATTTTTATAATATTAGTTTGAGTCCTTCATGTTTTTAGGTATTTGAGGCGTTTATCTATTGATATAAAATTTAAGGTATCTTTCTGTTCTTTGAAAAAAATATTAATGATATTGTAATTATATATGTGACTTATTCAATGTTTAATTCTTGTTTAACAAAAAAGAAATAAATATAACATGTCGCTTTGATACACTAATGTATTATTCGTCTACTTATTTATAAATGTTTGCACGATTTTTGCTATGTTTAATCGTAGCATCTATCACCGTATCAACAACAGGCTTTTTTGGAGGGGGGAGGGGGTCAGGAGGAGATTTAAAATCCTATAGCTATTCATCTTCAAGAGAAACCGTTTTCTAAATCAAATATAAAAATATGAATTTTTTCAACTTTGTAAACTTTCATTTAGTGTTAATATAATGTACAATTCTTTTTTTTCGTTTGTGTGCACTTCTTCTTGCTTTTGCTTATTTGTCACAGGCTATTTCGGCGCACATCTTTGGCATTTCCGCAGACACATACTAGAATCGATATGGAGCATTCGATCAAAGTAAGCACTCATTATCATTGCATGCACTCCTCAACTAACGTAAACATCCCGTAGTACATAATCAAAGGTATCTCTACTTTGTTCCCTATGTAATGGTAGTGGAAATAATTGGTCTATTATACTCCCTTAGATAGAGGTAGTCTGAATTATTGTCAGTGTAAATCGTTGATACCCCATCCTACATTGAATACTAGGTCATTTGTTCTTAGTTAGCTTTTTGCATATAAGCTTTTCTATCTTTATTAGTTTTTGTATAATGTTAATTTTTCACAACACAAAAAATAGGCACATTCTGCTATGATCGAGTATGTCTGTGCTATTCAGCTTCATTCTACACAGCACAACTGCATGCATAAGAAAAAAGATCAAGCATATTTGATAAACACCTGCATGTTGAGGGTATTCTAAATATTCGAGCTTCTTGTACTGTGTTTGTTTTCTTATTGTGGCTTCATTGATGAATATGAAAACGTATGATTCTCAAGAAACAAACTTTTTTTCAATATTTAAGACAATTAATGAATGGAATTTTGATGTGTTTGCTATAAATGAATTTACTAATGGACAAAGTTTAAGATATGTTGGATTTGAATTGATGCAACGTTACAATTTACCTAATAAACTTCACGTATGTGGTTAGAATTTAATAAAACAAAATTAATAAAACTCAACGTGCGATAAATTCATAGAAAACGTCTTGGATTTCACAGGGATTTCCGAAAAAGTGAAAAAATATAAGCAGATCTTTTTCTGCAGTTTGGATCGCATAAGCATGGAAAGCAACTAAAATAGAGTATACTTCAAAATTTTGAAGTATTTCGACTCGATTTTGGATAAGTTATAAATTTTTTAATATTATACAGTCTTTAGTTACAGAAAAGTTCAAATCTTAAAAACTTGAACTAGCAAAAGTTGAAACTTGAACTGCGCGCAATCCTCTAGACTATATTTCTTGAATTTTGCTCTCAATTGAGTTGAGAATATATACATACAGGGTGGTCCAAGAAAAACTTACCCCCACCATATTTATTGACTTTCTTGTGTACAAATATGATTGATTGAATGTTTTACCACCAGTTTAGTTCAGTAGAGCAAAGCTTTTTGGACAAACTAAGATGTCTCTGAGCTCTGTACGAGCTTTTCTCATGAAACAGTATTCAGTTTACTGAAGGTCCCATACTACCAGAATCAGGACAATTAACGGGAAAACAAGAAAGATACGCTCTTAGGGCCTTCCGTAAATTGAATGCTGTTTCATGACAAAAGCTGGTAGAGAGCTGGGAGACGTCTCATTTTGTCCAGAGATCTTTACTCTACCCGACTAAGCTGACCGATAAAAAGTTCCATTACATTTGCACACAAGAAACCCAATAAATACAGAGGGAGTAACTTTCTTTTGGGCCACCTTGGACATTTTGTATCTTTAACTGCAGTAAACTCGCGTGATTCATAAAAAATGTTGACAATAAGTTTATCTTTGAATTATTATATTCTCAACCGCTTTCAGAGAGAAATTACAGAAAGACAGTCTAACAGCGCATAGTAGGGGCCAGTTCAAATTTTTGAGGCTTGAACCTTTCTGTAACTAAAAAGCAATTGTAAAACAAATTTATGCAGTACGACCAAATCTAGTTTAAATATCAAAATCGTTTTTATTGTTAAATGAAAATGATCAAAAATTGATTATTTTAGTAAAACTTAGTTTCTTTCCGTGAAAAAAAACTTGCCATGGGATGATCGATTAGATCTGTATCATGAATTTTTTTAAGGCTATCTTTAATCATGATTACGAGATCAGAATTTTTGGAAAATCAACTGTCGCACCACCATCTTACTTGAACAGAATACGGGCCTATCGCTGATCATGAAAAAACTTTTAACTTTTTGGGGATTTAAACTGGTTTCAGAAACTCTCTAGGAACCTGCTTAGGTTTTTCCAATGCTTTTTCTCATAAAAATGTGGTCTAAGGTCTCCTGAAATCCGAATAAGAGTTCAGCTATTTTTGTGAGAGTTATTCAAAAAACATACCACTCTATTTTGTACATACCAGCAAATTATAATCAAATCTTCTCTACATACATAGTCGGTAAACAAAAATATGCTTATTTTTTCTTCTAGGTGTCACTAACTTCGTTACAAAATTTCTTAGAACAAATGGAAATGGGCTATAGTAAATATCATAATCCTTATCATAACTTAATTCATGCGGCCGATGTATTACAAACAACATATCAGATAGTGTATTCCAGTGGGTTAATGGTAGAGGTTTGAATTTTTTATCATTTTACAGATTAGTAACTAATTAATTTGACTAGACACAAATATTGTCTATTATTAAAATTATTTTTAGAATTGGCTTACTGATCATGAATTGTTTGCCATGTTCGTAGCAGCGATTATACACGACTTTGAACATACGGGAACAACAAATAGTTTTCATGTACAATCAAAGTAATAACATTTATCTCTCTATTAATATTGACTAGTAGTAAATAAATTATTTGATTTTTTTTTATTCTCATAGATCCGATGTTGCATTAATCTATAATGATCGAGCCGTCCTAGAAAATCATCATGTTAGTGCAGCATTTCGTTTAATGAGAATTGATGATTATAATATCGTTTCAGAGTTTAGCAATGAAGAATATAGGTATGATAACATATTTAAATAACTAGACAAATTTATTTAGTAATTTTTTTAAAATAAAAGTCCTTGTTCATTCTCAAATTTTCTTTCTTTTCTATATTCTAGAGATTTTCGTCAACTCGTTATTGATATGGTGTTAGCTACTGATATGAGTTTTCATTTTACACAATTAAAAAATATGAAAGGTTTACTAAGTATGCCAGAAAAGTAAGATGATATTAAATATAGAAATATTCTATATCTTTATACAGTAATATTTGTTAATTATTCTAGTATTGAAAAATCGAAAGCACTTGCTTTGGTGCTACATTGTGCAGATATTAGTCATCCTGGAAAACCATGGCATATCCACCATAGTTGGACAGAAAATTTGTTAGAAGAATATTTCAAACAGGTAGAATATATTGATTAATTAGTATATAGGATGATCTAAAAGTTCTCGGAACTGTTAAAACATTATCCAAGGAAAACAGATTCTATTTATCAATCTACCGTAAACGTTGGAGGTCATCAACGCAATGTTGAATACAAATTTGCATCCTCTAAATCCACTTTTGAAACGTCTTTTTTATATTCATGACAAGTATTGAATTCAGTACTTTGGTTATCAGTTTACTTAAACTTTCTACATCTGTATATTTATCTAGTCTATCTGAGTAACTGAGAAGCCATACGTCGGAAGAGTAACGTGGGTTGAATACGTCATACATGTTTTGTTTTCCTTCTTTACGATACGTTAATAACAATATTTTTCACATGCAGTTGTGCATGTCATGATGGAATTTGATAACATGCGTTTCTCATGTTGATGTTTTGTTCGATAACTTTTTAACTAGTGGTGTTAAACATTCATTAAAATAATCAATAGCATAACGGATATCCTCAGATTGTATTCAATGAATAAGTGAATCAGTTGCCATAAATAAGATGATCAACGTTGTTGCTTTTTCGTGTTGTTGCCTTTTAACGATAGTTGGAGGACTTTCCCCTTTCCTACTAATCATGGTTTTGATTCAGTCATGCGATCGTACATGTGTATCTCATCGGCAATGATTTTATCATATAATAGCTATAAACCACTTTCAAACTTCTAAGTTTTAATATTTAACAAAACATTTGAACTGCCTCAATAACCAGAGTACTGAATTCGATACTTGTCATGAATATAACACAGACGTTTCAAAAGTGGATTTAGAAGATGCAGATTTGTATCGAACATCGTCTTGATAACCTCCAATATTTGTGGTAGATTGATAAATAGAATCTGTTTTCCTTGGATAATGTTTTAACAGTTTCGAGAACTTTTGGATCACCCTATGTAAATTGATAAAATTTTATTGAGAAAAAAGAGGCAATGGAACTATTCAAAATTTTGATAACAGAATGATAAATTGAATTCGATGTGAGTGTTCATTTTTTCATTTATCTTGGAAACTCATTATTATGAAGCTTTCTCATCAGAAATACAAAATTTTTTTAAAAGTCGATATTGAATTAAGCATATCAACAGATAGTACAATATATCGAATAATCTAGGCTTCACAATAATGGATCTGGAAAACTTTTGGGAAAGTTTTTAAAAGCCTTAATTCATTTGACTTTTTCGTGAATTGAGTAATATTCATAGAAAATCAAAGTCAGAAATATTCATTTTTAAAAATGTCAGTATGTGTAACAAACATTTCTGAGCAAATTGAGACGTCTCCCAACTCGACACGATATTTTAAACAAAAGTTATGAGAGTTTTGCTAGAAGTCTCAAGATATTTACTATATGCCAGCGCTGCTATATCTTGAAAGTGACTCTGCCCTTTACAAATATTTGTCTTTTTCGCGAATTTTCAACAGCACTTGGGTTGATGCCAAATTGAAGCTAAGACATCGCTCGACAAAAGCCTAATTTTAGATATTTTGTTTTTCTGAATAATGTGAAACTTAAAAAGTCAGAAATTTAAGAAATACTGTTTAACTTCTTCGGAAAAATATCTCAGACAAAAAAAAAAGTAGATAAAAATTTGGGGATAGTTTTCTGATAATGAGAGTGCTGTATAGAACCTAATCTCAATTGTTTTATCGATTATTTATTTGTATTTTTTAATAGGGAGAAAAAGAAAAAGAACTTGGTTTACCATGTTCACCACTATGTGATCGTGAGAATACGCTTGTAGCTGAATCTCAAATAGGTATAATAAAAAAGAAATATTCTTATTATATATCATTTAAAAATAATTACTATCTATTTTTTTCCTAGGCTTTATTCAATATATTGTTGAACCATCATTTTCTGTTATGGGTGATATGCTCGAAAAAATAATAAAGTCCTGTGATATAACTTCTGCACCAGCATCTCCAGTACCACTGAAAAGTCCGTCGCCTCTTCCATCACCTTCACCTCCATCATCAGCAGGTTCATCAAACGAATCGGGAAATGTTAACGAAGATACCAATGGGTAAGAAACATATCGCAATACATCAGTATTTTATTATTGATGGCATGTTTGATATTTGTAGACAAGTCCAAAGACCGTTAACAACACCAACACCAACAACATATCAAACTGGACATCTACCGTTGCGGAGACCATGGGAAGATAATTTACGTTTAAATAAAGAACGATGGCAAACGAGTGCAGGTTTGTGTGAACAATTTAGTCTTCTGCATTAAATACGATAAAAACTGCCGTATTATATATCATGCCATATAAAAAACTTCTTTTTTACTTCATGAAAAAGATACTTTATGGCAGTATTACTCAAAGGTACTGTCTGACATTGGACAGAAAAATAAATAATTCCGAAAGAAATGTTAAAAGAAGCTCATTTACAAAATTTTGTAAGACACACAAGTGACTTTTTTTCAGTATCGAATGATCAGCCTCTCAGCATCTGCTGAGCTATTTGTAGAAATGTTGGTAAAAGTAGTTTTTTTCTAAATATGTATTGTCGTGTAATTCAACCATTTAGAGACTCTGGACCATTATTGAGGTGAGAGTATACACGAAAAATTGACCAGTTCTTTTATCCAAAGTCCATCTAAGGGTAACCCCTCTTTGTTTCATCTTGTTGCCAAATGCGGAAGTACACGTCCGATTGAGCTCAAATTTATACCAGGGACAGAACAGTGAACGATGTACTTCTGCTCAGATTTTTGTCACATGAACTTCTATGGGTTTTCTGAAGATCTCATCTTCTATCCAGCCACATTACGATCCCTCGAAAAAATGGTCCAACCGGAGGTCCCATAAAACCCATAGAAGTGACAAAAATCTAAGCAGAAGTACATCGATTTTCTTTTTCGCTGTTCTATCTCTGATATAAATTTGGGCTCAATCGTGCGTACTTCCGCATTTCGTAACACAAGGCGAAAAAATAGGGAAGAGGGGGAGGGGACCTTAACGACGAGCTGTTAATTCGAATAAATGGCCAACACTAGTGTAAACTAGACAGTAACTGCACTACTTGAGGTTTGCAAGACGACAGAATGAAACCGACCGAAATGGAACTATCTTGTACTGATAGAATGAACAACGTAATAGTATGGCATACGAGGAATCACTAAATACATTCGAATTATATGTAGCGAAACCGTACGGAGAACAAATTAGTCACTACTTTCGTTGACGATATTGATGGATGCAAAATCTATAAGAACTGAATGAGTGTAACAAAACGTGGGAAAATCAGTAGAAAAGACCTGTTTCTGAAATTGAAACGTATAATAAACTAACATTCATTCTGGTTCATTGTGCTGCAACACATTGGTGCAACTAGAAATATTAGCGCCCCATGTGTTAGGGCCACAGCGAAAAATAAGCTCAGTCTGTACCGCTTGGCCCAATGAAACAAGTGGGTCGCTAATATTCTAGTTGCGCCAATGCTAAAACCTCGTCTCCTCCAGACGTAGCTAAGAACAGATAATGGGAGAAACAACAGGAAAATTATATTTACTATAACCGGAATAATTTCAAATGACTCTTATCTAATACATGAAAAAGCGTTTTCAGACTGGAGTCACATATCTCTACTCCTGCCTTTTATGATGTACTCTAGCAATGTTTGTATCAATTTCGGCTACGTCTCAAAAGAGATACAAATCCATATTTTACAATGCATTTGTTTTAATCAATTAAAAAGTACAAAGTCGTTGATATTCTTCTAAGTCTATTTCTTCACTCAATAATGCTTGTCTGGCAGAACCAAGATGAATATTGTGATCAACATCGTGTTTTTATTATTGAGTGAAGAAATAGACTTAGAAGAATATCAACGACTTTGTCGACATTTAGGATACAATTATTTGGAAGTTTTTAAGAAAACTCGTGATACGGGATATTAGCACGGATGAGGATGAAGACAGCGAAGATTAAAATTATAAACAGTTGACAAATTAACTTCTTTATGAAAAATAATTCTTTTTTAAATATAAGTACTAATTACTACTTAAGATAATCTTGATTGCTTCTACCTCTTGTTTAATTTAACTTTTATGTGGAATATGGAAATGAGAGAAAATGTATCTCTTTTGAGAAACGCAATTTCTTGCCAAAATATTCGTTTCTCAAAAGAGATACTTTTTAATTGATTAAAACAGATGCATTGTAAAATATGGATTTGTATCTCTTTTGAGAATATATAATGTATCTCTTTTGAGAAGCTACGATCAATTTCTGTATGCTGATGTATCACTGGTATGGGCTTTTCGTATCTGAGTAAATGTGAGTCTATTATTAATCATCTGTCGTTGTCTCTTAATGGAGATGGAAGATTAATCGTTAATTTTCGTTTGTTTTAATTATATGAGCATCTAATGGAAAGACCTACCACCTGAATATTGATTTGCTTCAATTGACATTTACGATATTCTGAGCATTAATATACTATCGATAACTCATTCTTGAACCTTTTTGTTCGCTTTTTACATACAATGTTTTCTTTTGTAAAAGTTTCAACTTAACTCTCATTTTCACACATGTAAAATATTCAGTGAAACTTTACGAGGCATAATTCTACAAAACTGATGTTAAAACAAATTCAGAAGTGTGGAGTGGTATTCCAGAATGCCATAATGCTATCGATGAACAAAACTGCTATTTTTTTGGGCATTAATGAATGTGAAAAGAACGAGTATCGATTGTGATTGAAAAAGAACGTCTGACAAAAATATTAAAAATTCACTAGAGGGCTATACAGACAAAACGCCAAACTTCAGTTTATCAAGCATGTTTGATTTAATGTGTAGATTAGAAACAGCCTTCTTTTGTTCAAATAAATAAATAAATATCTTCCGAGAGCACTTGTTCAGAACTTTTTCACAGACTTTTGTAAACAGGATCACTTCTGCATTATTTTTAGAACAATGATTTTCTCCTTGATATTGATATATATTCTTCTATTTTAGAAGAAGAAAAGCGACGACGCGAATTAAAATCAATACCCGAATAAATCGAATATACATTTCACAATCACCGTCCGAATAAATAGTATCATTTTCTACGATCTATATTATCACTTCTTCGATTATGCAATGTATAATTATATTCGTCAATGTTATAAATTAAACGAAAATATCGCATGTGTTTTATGCAATGATTATGATTAATCTAAATCTATACAATTTTATTATCCTCATGCATCTGTTTATTCCTCAACATTATCCAGACTTGTTGAGCTTGTGGTGCTTAACGATGTCATCTAAAATTAATATTCATCGTTATTAATGAGAAAATAATGTAACAATGCTCATAAAGGCTCGAGTGAAAGATTGTTTAGGGTTTTTTTTCTTCTTTTTATGTTGTGTTAATGAATAATAAAGACGTGATGTCTTTTATTATACTAGGTGCAGTTCTAGTTTTTTTTAATCTGTGTTCTGTTTCAATGATTTTCTTAAAATGTACTTTACTCTGAAATTTCGATTTCTTTAACAATTTATGTTTATGAGAAACTCTTTTAATTTATTAGATTGTAAAAACACTATTGTAGTAAGCATCGAACCAGTCTACAAAAAACTTAAAGCCAAGTGCTCAATTTAGAGGATCAACTAGATGTGTAATTGAACAGAATTCTGTTTTTCTGCAATTGTATAACGACGCTCATTTTCGTTGCAAAAGTGAAAACAGTACCGTAATCACTATCATAATCATACAGTGCTAGAGATATCAAAGAGTTAAGGTAGTGTGATAATGTCCGAGTGTATATGGATATAGCAGATTTTCGTAGCATCTACATCATTATCACATTCGGCAAGAAAGTATGTCAAAAATATAATTGTACAATTAGCTTCTTTAAAATAGAACACAATGCCATCACTTTCGGCTGTACTAACGAGGAGACCACCCCAGATGTTACACTGCTTTTTCGTCGAAACATACATGATTATAGGTAAATTTCTGATGTTGATCACGAATTTGATAAATGTTCGTGCCTATACAGCCTTCTGAAGTGGATCTTTGGAAAACATCCATCTGGAAATCTGTGATGAAGAGATTTTGATCTTTTTGTCTTGTAGAGCATATTGAGTTATTCTATGAACACATTTTTGGATTTAAAGATTAAGTATTTAGCTCAGTTCAAGAAATTTTATTCTAAAAAACGATGATAAGTAAGAGTTTTGCAGAAGACTGAGATGTAAAATTTCTTGAGCTCAGCTAACTTATAATGTAACTTATCCTATGAATATTTCCATATACAAAGTTTCGACTCACTAGGGTGATTTTAAACGCTTTATACAATGTGAATAAAAAATGCCTTCATTAATATAAGATAAAGATAAGTAAAATATCCACATTTCCAAAACCAAAAAACACGCTGTGGGGTGAAAATAACCAAAAATTACACAAGAATAAAATGAAATGAAACGTACTCATCTGATCTTTGTAGTAAAATCATCGTAAGAAAATTGATGTAGAGTGTAGTATCAGGCTATCACCTCTGAATCTTAAGTGATTCGGTTTCAGAAATACAGTGTGAAAAAAGTTTTTCCATATCAGAACTCATTTCATTCGAATATTCAGTTTGACATTTATCAATTTTATTTTTAACTATAGTTTAATAAGACAGGGATATTTATTGCTGAATTTTTTTCATTTTCATTTCCACGATTACTTTACCAACCTAAATATGCTTTTTCTTTTTCTTTAATTATTTTCAGTACCTCATCGGTCAACCATTCTTTTTGCTTTTTTTTCCGATCATCATCTGAAATATATTTTTCCTATCTGACCGTGTATATACTCTATAAACTTCGAACATTTCTCATCAATAGATATTTTCTCATCCTACCAATCTTAAAATTTTTTATCAATATTTCCCTGAAGAACTTGCATCAAGCTATCATTTTTTAGTCTTAAATTGTAATTGTTGCCTGTACTTGTGACGATATTTTAGATGCTTTTCAACTTTCGTCCTAAGTAGATTATGATCGGTTTCAACTCGCTCTACTGTTCCCATGTATGCTTGAACATCTTCGGTACCTATTCTAAATTTTCTATTTGCTAAGACATAATCAACTGTGTGCCATTTCTTGGTGCCTGGATGCATTCGCGTTGTGTGGTGGATCTGTTTATATTGGAGGTATGTGCTGGTAATGATGAAATCATTATAAGAACAAGATCAACTAATTTTTCTCCGTTATAGCTCAAGTTGGTCACTGCAACGGAAAAAAATTACGGAGTTCCTGTATAATAGTGGTAAAAATAGGAGTTTCTGCGAGCCTGCCCTTAAGAACTCTCTCGTCTACCGGAATTTTTCCATATGATGGTTGTTAACTTTCCGAGACAAATAGCAACACCGTGAGCTACTCTCCTTTCATCCCTCGCTCCTGAGTATATAAGAGAATAATCTTCCATTTCAATCGCTCCTGAATCGTATAGTGATGTTTCTACTGGTGCTGTCTAGGGTTGGCACTTTACCTTTACTTTACTTGTAACTACGAACTTAGTTACTAGTAACGAAGTAAGTAACGGTGAGTAACTAGCAAAGTGCCACCTCTAGTGCTGCCTCTTCAATCCGATATACGATGATGTAAAATTCAATTTCTGGATGACTTTACAAATATCAAAAAGACAAGAAAAGGTCAGAAAATGAATTTTATTTAACAGTTTTTAGAAAACACAAAAGTAACGCGTTTAACTGAACAATTTCTTTGAACAAAATGTTCCTGAGTAAAAATACAATATTAAATGCTATTCATTCTAATCCGATAATAAGGTTCGTTTACACCAGAATCGAGCACGATGATCATCTGAACATGATACAAATGCTGATGTTACTGGACTATGTACTATACATTTCACCGGTGCATTATGACCCAATCCTAGTAAACGTTGTCTTTCAGCATTTCTCGAATTCCAACAACATAGACTTGTCGCTTTTTCATCTGGATATAAAACATAATCTTCAGTATGATTAAAAACACATGTAGCCCGATGTTCTTGCTTAGCCATTGAACCAGCGCCACTATAATGAAGTAGATAACGCTAAAGAAAAAAAAAGATGCATATGTTATTGAATAAATAATCTAGAAAACCAATAGACGTACCGCTGTCGATAATTCCCATAATCGAACTTGTGAATCTTTACCACTTGTTAATAAATATTTTGAATTTTTAGTAAACACTACACTGCAAACTTCTTCATTTGCATGGGCATTTTCAAACGTATTTACACAACGATTCGTTACTCCATCCCAAACTTTAAATGTACCATCTTTTGATGATGTGGCAAACATTCGGCCATTTGGTGACCATTTCAAACACGTAATGGCTTTTGAGTGTTGTTCTTGTGGTTGAGCCGAGACAAAACATTTGCCAGTTTCAACATCATATAGACGGACGATCGGATTTTGAGTACCAACCAATAACCAATCACCTGAAAAGAAGACAATCATGACTAAAGATGGAGTTGAGTGATCAAATAGTTTACTTTTTACCAGATGGATGAAAACTTAGACATCGAATTTGATCCACTTCTGTCATTGTTCGAAATGACTTTTTTGTACTTGGTTTAGCATATTCAAAAAATTTAATTGTATAATCTCTTGAACCACTAACCAAAATTGGATCATAAGGATGAAAATCAAGACATGTTACTTCGTCAGCATGATCGTATAATGTACGAATGACCGGATGATTTTCTAAGTTTTGATCCGATTGAGATGAAAAATCCAGATTTTTGATTAACATTCTAAAACAGATATAAAAATGATTCTGACAAGTGGATGGCTAACCAAGGACCGTTTTGCTACGTAGTATAACCACAGAAATCAAGTTAAAACATTACAGGGTACTATAATCGACTACTCAACTAAGATCAAGTTATGACATTGAGCTAAAGCAATTGTACCTATCCACATCTAATATTTTAATTGAAGCATCAGCCGATCCAGTGGCAATAACAGATCCTGTTGAATCGAATACAGCTGTCCTACATGGTGCTTTATGAGCGGTGACATAACATGTTTCATAAGAACCAGCATCGGGACTAGAAATTAACGAATCTGATTTGTAATCAAAATCCAAACCTAAATAGAACAAATATTTTCACTTCTCAGTTCAAACAAAACAAGTATTTTCCCACATAATTTCAACTATAATCGTACCAATATCTTGAATATTTTCAGTTACAATTGATGTTGTAATTGATCTTCTTGTACTTTCGATATCCTCTTCAGATTTTAATCCTAGACGAACAATGTGAGTTAAACGATCCGATGGAGGACACATTGGAGCAGTCTAAACAAAAATGATAATAATTAGAGAAAAAATAAAATAAGTCAGAGCCAGCTATAACGACAATAATTTTCTCACACGAACCTGTAACTGATTTGATAATTGAACGGCAAGCTGTAGATGTCCATCATACAATAATTGACTAATGATCAAACGATACGTTGTCTCTCTTAGACGAGTTTCACTTCGGATCTAAAGTAAAAGCACATGAAAATATTGCTATGAAATGTATTAAAATAAATATGTACGATTTGATTATTGTTAAGAGAGGTAGCGATCGGAGTCGACTCAATATTCATTGCTGGCTTTAGATCTAGAAAAAAAGATAAATAAACGTGCAGGACTCGACAAGTCCGGACTTGCGCTTTTTCTGGGAGACTCGGACTTTGACTGGAGGTTTTTTTTAAAGAATCAGACTCGGACTTAAGTTTTTATGGACTTCGAGTTGATCGATTCAAATTTTTAGATAAATGAACAGAAAATTTTGATTTTTTCTTTTGCTTTTATTGTTCTGAGTTCAAATGTGAGCCATGCTTGTATGTATCATGCAATTCGATTATAGGCTACAATATCGAGAACATTACTCGCTCTAAATATTATGATGACTATAGTACGTTGTTTGCTAGTAAATAAAAAAAATAAACTATAGCAGTAAAGAAAGGATCTAAATATTAGTGAACTAGGATTGGACTCTGGACTCGGTTATAAGTATTTAGG